TTGAACTCCTGACCTTGAGCGATCCACCCGCCTCGGCCTCCCAGAGTGCTAGGATTACAGGCATGAGCCACTGCGCCTGGCCGTAAACTTACATTTTTATCTGAAGCTCTTTTTAACAGTGTTTATTTCTTCTACCAGTTATTTTATTTTATTGACTGTTAATTTATCAACCCCTCTTTAAAAAAAAAAGTGAGAGGACAAAAGGCCATAGCATTATCACATTTATATATGTGAGTTCCCTAAACCATATGGTGATTTCTAATTAGAATACAAAGGATTCTGAGATGAGGCTAACTTCATGGTAGCTGTAATGGTGGGCATTACAGAAGGAGAGGGTTTTCTTGAATTTCCAACAGGGACACTTCTGAGAGCAACTGTGTGGTCTATAATTGTCCTTATACTAAAAGTCTGATAAAGTTATTGATGTGCAGATCAAGTTGGTATTTCGAAGGTAGTAATTTAATTCTGGATGTTTGATCCTCTCAGTCAGTGGCTTGACTTGATTTTTTTAAAAGCAGCTTCAATATTTAATTTCACATGTACCCTCTCAGTAGAGATTTCAAAGGATACTTTGCTGGATGCTTGACTGCCTTGTCTATTTGCTCTTGTTTTGCATGCAAGAGAGAGCCAGAAGCTTTCTTCTCATTGTGTACACATAGTATTAATGGATTTACTCTGCCTGTATCGTCTCATTACTGGAAACAGCTAGAAGCACAGAAGTCTTTCAGTGTATGCAAATAAGGCAGAATCATCTACCTGAGAGTTAATATTCTCTGCTTTTAAGTGTATTCTAAATCTAATGTTTGTATTTAGAGCATAACATCCTGTTCTTTTTTTTATGGGCAAAAAGCTAAGCAGGCTCAGGCAGCTGTTTGATGTTGGCTTCAAGTGTTATTAATTTCATATTCTATTATTCTTTTCACTGTAGCACAAGTGAAGCTGATGTGGAGGCTGTCATGGATAAGTTGTTTGATGAGCTGGCTCAGAAACAAAATGATTGTACGTAAGTTAATTTCTCTTGAAAGAGAATACATTTAGAACACAATGCCCAATCTCCACTGACCAATTAATAAGTTCCATTGCTGTATATGGGTTGATGCCACGCTCAAGTGGCAGTCATTGTATCAGCATTTTGTCTAATTTATGTGTTGAATCATGTGCTATTATTCATCAAGCTATGCATTTCCTATCTGTAAGAGATGAATTTTATAGTAATTATCCAGACAAGATTGAGTCTTTGTTCATGTTCCCATAGTAACTAGACCAAGGATTCTAAAAGTGCAAGGCAGAGAGCTGCGGCTGAATAAAGCCTGTGGAACCGTTGCCGACTGCACATTTGAAGAGCTGTGTGAGAGAGTGAGTATCCAGGCACGTCCAGACTCATTGGCCTTTTCACATGTTAAAATACTTCATGTTTTCCTCTCTGCCTGTTTCAGATTTTAAAATACTATTCACAGAGTCAGAACTGATTTAAAAGTCTCATTAAGGGAAATACTCATCTATATTTGCCATGTGCTTTTTATAGATATTGGCACAAAATTTGCACTTAGAGGGGCTCTGAAGCAAAATTAGAAATTCAGAGAGAACTGTCAACTGTTGCTAGAAGCAAAAATAAAATCAGTTTTAGGGCTGTTTTGTAAAAGTCAAACAAAAAGACATTTTTAGAAAAATTTTGAGGAGAGGTTAGCATATGGGAAAAAGGAAGATGAAGTAATGCCACCATGATCCGAGGAAGCATGACATAAAAGAATTTCCATTCTTTGTACTCATTGCCCATGTGTTAATGCCATAATATCTGACCTATTGGGGTCAGGGTCAAAGAAAGTGAATTTCTATAACTGTGACATCTGTATTATAAAAAATATATTCAACAGAGGAAAAAAATATATACCTGTATACACACACATTCATGTAAGTGAGAAAGACCTTGATTGCAGATCAGTTATAGATAGGAATTCTGTCTTTTAAAAGCTCTAAAATTCTCAGTACTCAATGGATAGTCAATATATTTATTGATTGTAAATCTTGAGGAAAACAAATCCAAATCACACATCACCTTAAACATAATTCCTCCCTCAACTGACATCTATAAATAATCATTCCAGCTGGTCTCTGATTTATCATGACTTTTTAGGTAACTAAAGAAGAGTTGTTTCTGATAAAAGAGAAAGTCTTGATGTATATATGCAGTCATTTTATAAGTACTTTTCTTAAAAGCTAGTGCCTTAATTACTTCCAACCAGGGTCAATTTGTAATTTTTAAGCCAGAGAGATAAATCCAATTTGTAATTATTTAGTGCTTCAGAACCAATAGGATAATCTAATATCTCCAGACAAAATTCTGTTAAGGCATCCATTTAAGTTTTACTTATTTTTCCAGAGAAATAAACTTGAGAAGAATATTGTATAGCCAAAAGATGAAGCTCCTCCGCCTTCTGCAGAAGAGAACCCAGGGGGGAAGGGGAGAAGACAGACGTGTTGAATCTTGAGGGAGGAAGGCAAAGATAGTCTCTTGGAGCAGATACTGAGTATTTATCTATATCCTTTTACATGCTCATTATTTTCGGAGCAAGTGACCAGGAAAAGGCCGCTTATCCGGGACCAATTATCTTCAGTCTTTTTACTGTATGAGGATGATGGGCAAGAAGGTTGATTGGGACTTTATATTGAAAAATGAAAATAACACTTATAAAAGCAAGTCATTTTTATTTGACAAAAATATGGATTATAGTAGCAATTATAAGCTAAACTCTTAGAATAAATAATGAACAAATTTCTATTTATTTTTGGCATAACTTTTTTTACAAAATTCTTATTTAATCATATAGGAAATCATTTTTACAAAAATATTTAAGAATTTATCAATTTTTTCAAAACCTTTTTAAATTCATGAAAAATGTCAATTATTTTCTTTTGAAGTTTTTGTGTTGTCGTTATCCTTGTTGATTTTTTCTTCTTCAGATTGGCCACATCCTCACTTGTCAGTGCCTTTGCATGAATAAGTTTGCCCTTTTTCTACACTGTAATTGTGGATGTTTATCACATCGGACAAGGACTGAATGACGGACAAAAGACATTGACATGATGGGTAGGGTTAGGTCCTGGTATTAAGCTGTGGGGGATATTTGAGGAAGGGCTAACTTTTTAAGTGGTGTGTTCATTTGTGACTATTTTCTTGTTATGATGATTTGCATTTCTTTGCAACTTTGTAACTGTGGCAATCCAGATATTGAATACTTGCATGAAGAGAACCATTGAAATCATTCAACTTCAGATGTAGCTTAAAACGCTTAATTAGGTTATAACGATCTTATGAGCCAGCTAAGTAGTTGCCAAAAGCTGTTCAGTAAAGAAAAAACACATCCAACTCAAGGTGTAGAAGCAGACATCTGGTATGTCTGGAATAGTCCCAGCTTTGGATCGCATATCCTAGTTTTCTGGGAGGCTCTCAAAGACCAGGACCCACCCGACCACCATGACCGACATCATCCTGAAAAAAACCTTTGACAAGGAGTGGTGGATGGATTGACAGTCTGTAATGATTACTTGTGAACTATGGCCCCTTCCAAGGAAAAATATAATTTAGAAACTAATCTATTATAGTGTTTTGATAAGGTAAAAGAAGGTTTTGACTAGAAGCCTTTGACATATGCCATAAAATGAAAAAGGCCCAGGCATTCTGGACTTTGCACATGTCTTCCCTCTCTGTTCCAAGCACAGATCCTCAGCTCTGGAATTCTGCAGGATAACATCTAGCCCATTGGTATCTCTGGGATTCTCTTTCTTTGTAAATCTGTAATTCGACACTGCTGTGCTCAGAGAAGCAGTCTCAATTAGGATACCCTACAGCATACGCATCATAATAATAATAATAACTAATATAGCCATGTGGCAGGCATCATTCTAAGAAATTTATATTAACTCATTTGATACTTACAATATTATTGTCTCCATTTAATAGGTGCAGATATTGAGACACTGAGACGTTAAGTTACTTTCCTGAGGTCACACAGCTAGTAAGTGACATAGCCAGGGCTTGAACTCCTTGGTGGTTTAGGAGCCAGATTCTGTGCTTTTAATCACTATGGTATATCTGAAAATGCTCTGGACAAGTTCTGCCTCAAATCTTTTTCTTCTTTTTCTTTTTGAGACAGAATCTTGCTCTGTCATCTGGGCTAGAATGCAGTGGCATCATCATAGGTCACTGCAATCTCTAACTCTTGGGCTCAAACGATCCTCCTGCCTCAGCTTCCCGAGTAGCTGGATTACAGGTGCACACCACTATGCCTGGCTAATTTTTCTATTTTTTGTGAGATGGGGTCTTGCTCTTGCTCAGGCTATTCTTGAACGCCTGGTCTCAAGCAATCCTCCCACCCTGGCCTCCCTCCCAGAGTGCTAGGATTACAGGTGTGAGATACCACATCTGGCTTTTGCCTCAAATCTTTAACATAATTCAGGTGCTACCATGAAGCACAAGAAAATGCTATGTGTATTCCCACATCTGAGCTAAGCTTTGAGACTCTTATGGAGCATGTAACTGGCTTGGGAACAGACATCCTCCAGTCCTGAGAGCCTCCCACTGTGTTAAAAACCGTAGTGCAGAACTGTCCAACTCATGTGCCTTGGCAGATCCACGGGAATGGGTACAGCTACTGACCCCTCCATCCTCCTGAAGGCTGTATAGGTTCTTTACCTCCATGCCAGGGGCCTCAAGCCTTAGGCAGCCTCATCCCTTTACTCCTTAGTAAAATTATTACTGTTTTCTCTCCCTGTCATGATATGAAAAAGGTTGGGAAATGCTACCTTAGAGAACTGTGGGAAGACAAAGGATAATATGCTTGGTTTTAGTTCCTTGCCATTCCCTCCATATTAGAGCTGTGGCAAAGAAAAATGAAGATTCATCTCTGTGGACATGACATGGGCTTACCTTGATACAGTTATTACTTGGCTTAATCAGAGAGTCATAGAGATGTCAGAAACATGGTTACTTAAGTCAGTGGTTCTCCAAGTGTGGTATATAGAACTCTAGGGTTCTCTGAGACCATTTCAAGGGTCCTGGTGTCTAAACTCTCTATAATAATACTTGGGCACTTTTTGCCTTTCACTCTGGTTGTATTTACAGTAATGGTACAAAAGCAATGATGGGTGAAATGCTGGCACCTTGGCATAAATCAAGGCAGTTGCACCAAACTATATTGTATACTTCATTGTCCATGCACTCATAGTAAAAAACAAACAAACAAAAAACCTAGTTCCATTTAAGAATACGCTTGAAGAAGCAGTAAAAATTATTTTGTGGAATCTCAAAAACTTTGAGAACATGTCTTTTTAATATTCTTTGAAATGAAATGGGAAGTACACATAATAAAATACTTCTACTATATACCAAATATTATGGTTGTCCTGAGGAAAAGCACTTGTGTAGTTGTTTGAGTTTCAAGCTGAACTAGCCACTTTTTTCCTGAATACCATTTTTACTTGGAAGACTGAGTGACAGACAAACTATAGTTATTCAGATTTGGCAGACATTTTCTCACAATGTTTGACAGACATTTTCTTGAAAATAAATGAAGGAAGACTGTCATTTCAAGAAAAACAACTGATAATATTTGATGCCAATGATAAAATTTGAGCAAACAAGTGAAAATTAGAATTTTGGAAAACTTGTTTCCACCATCATGAGCTTGACAGCTTCCCAATGCTTAAATATTTTTTCCAGTGAGACTGATGGTGATATTAACAAATGCAATGTTTTAATTGTTGTATAATTAAATGTGTCAACATTTGGAAGATCTGCATAACTAATTGAATCAATATTTTCCAATAACCAGTGCATATTCTTACAAAATCATACATGACAAAAGATCCATTTAAAGTGCAAGAAAGACTAATGGATTTCAATATAACAGAATTCAAAAAGTAACTAATACTGTTTCATATTCTACATTGCAACTAACATTTTAAAAACTACCTCTTGTCAAGTTAAAACAATTTTTTTAATAGGCTCTATTTTTAAGAACAGTTTAGAAAAATTGAGAAGATGGTACAGAGAGTTTCCATATACTCCCTAACTTAGTTTCCCCTATTGTTAATGTCTTACATTAGGAGGGTACATTAGTTACAATTAATGAACCCATATTGATACACTACTATTAACTAAAGTCCACGCTTTATTCAGATTTCCTTCATTTTGATCTAATGTCCTTTTTCTGCCCCAGAACCCCATCCAGGATCCATTACCTTTAGTTATCACGCCTCCTTAGGCTCTTGGCTATGACAGTTTCTCAGACCTTTCTTGTTTTTGATGACCTTGACAGTTTTGAGGAGTCCTAGTCAGGTATTTCATAGAATGTCTC